TCTTTCATATACTTAAAAATAGCAATGGAACATGGTGTCTGTAACTATGTTTTACTTCCTAACAACCCACGTGAACAACTGCATACTGTAAACAAAGTCAAAATCCCAAAAATATAGGGGAAAAAAATGCTCACTAAGACTAAAAAATATCAAAACATGATCACACATTTAATCGTAACAGCTATATATTCACATTATTCCAAAACCAAGAAAAAATAAAAAGCTTCATTCCCAAGTCCCAGTGCCTACCTCCAACTTTGATAAGTTTTGTCTTTCCAATGTTTCTTTATGTGAATATACACAAATACGAACACATTATTTTTTTCTCTTTCTTATATGCATACCTTCTTATGTACATTTACTAAATGTCTGAGAGCCTTCCATATCTGTATATGGAGAGCTTCTTCATTCGTGTTTTTTGACACATAATAATGCAGTGAACGTTCCACATTTTATTTAATCAAGCCCCTGTTAATGAACAATGAAGTATATGTCCCAAACTTTTGATATTACAAATCACGTTAAAATGAATAGCCTTTCCTATTTATTATTTCATACCTATTCAGCTAGAGCTTTGAGATAAAGTTCCAGAATTCAGATTTTATGATTCTGTAATTTGAATCAACATTGCTAAACTGCTCTCCATAAGGTTTATAACAATTTGCACTCTCTCAGACAAGGTATGAGAGATAAAGTTTAATTCAAAACTTGTTTCGATCCATCCAAAGCTATTTTGAAAACAATTCATTTGATAAGAAAATGAGAAAAGTTTGGGGGCTACGCTATGGTTCATATAGTTCATATTTATAAGGTCAAATTCTCCTCAGAAAGTTTGATTCCTTGAGTAAATATCACAGAAAGGTTGACGGCAGCTGTAGTTGTAATAGGTGATATTTCCATTTATTATTATTTAAACTGACATAAGACAAAATAGCTAAGAACAATTTGACAGTTCATTGAAGAGACATACAGCATTCATACTCTGTTATGCACAGAACTGTGTATTCCCAAAATTCAGATGCTGAAACCCTGATAATCTTTGGAGACAGGGCCTTTAAAGAGGTAGTTAAGGTTATTGAGGTCATATGGATGGCACCCTGATCCAATAGGACTGGTGTCACTGTAAGAAGGGGAAGAAACACCAGAAATGCTTGAGCACAAGGAAAAAACTGTGTGGAGACACAGCAAGAGGGCAGCATGTGCACACCAAAGTGAGAGGCCCCAAGAGAAACCAGACCTGCTGACACCTTGATCTCGAACTTCGGCCTCTGGGACATTGAGACAGCAAATTCTCTCAGAAAATCAAATTTCTGTTGTTTAAGCCACCCGCTCTGTGGTATTTTGTTACAGCAGCTATAGCACACTAATTCACCTAAGCAAGCAATATTCTTCTAGGAATTAATCCTAAAGAACAAAAGATATATGTTCAAATATGACTATTACCTCTTTATTAATAATCACAAGAAATTGGAAAGAAACTAATTATTATACACTAGCAGTTTCAGTCTACTATAGTACATAAATGATACACTATCTATCCACTAATTATTACTAACATGAATACTTCAGCCTCAAGGAAAAATATATACAAAAAATGTTATATTTTTTTAAAGTATGTAAGTTAAGGAAAGCGAAAAATGTTAGAGATGAATGGTCTGACAGTTGTACAAACAATGTGAATATTCTTAATGCCAATGAACTGTACACTTTAAAATGTTAAAATGGTAAATTGTTATATTTTACCACAATGAAAAAAAAAAAAAACAGAAAAAATTACAACACACGCATAATTCTGGTTGTAGTGTTAAAAAGTGTCAAGATTGGAAAGAGACGAAACTAAAAACATTGTGTTTGGTCGACAGGACTATTTGTAGAAAATGCTTTTCTTTCGCATCATTTAAAAAATATTTCAGTTGATAGTTTAGCAGACTGTCATTTACATATGTGTTTGTGTATACATTTACACACATAAAAAGAGTTCTGGAATAATACACAAACCTGTAACAATGGTTATCTCTGGGGAAGAGGAAAAAAGTATAGAAATTTGTCTATGTTTGATTTCTTTTTATTTGTATTATAATGTTTTCAACTTAAAAGTATTTTAATATCTGAAAAACAGAAATAACTCAAAAAGGATAAAAACTCAAATCTTAAAAGAATACAAACAGAAACAAATAATTCTATCTACATATCTAATTGTTAACCTCAAAGAAAAAAAAAGATTTAAGAATCTTTTTTTTTTTTTTTTTACGCCTACAACACCCGGTCTTCCTAGGCGGTCTCCCATGCAAGTACTAACCCAGCCCAACTCTGCTTAGCTTTCAAGATCAGACAGGATCAGGTGTGTTCAGGGTGGCATGGCCACAGACTCAAGAACTTTTTTAACACAACATTCTGACTATATATGCTCTTAATAAAAGTTAGTACAAAGACAAAAAGAATTGTAGAAAAACTGAAAATTTTACACAGTAATTTTGTTGCTGGAGATACTGTTATAGTTTATTCTGAAATTCTTTTATGTGTATGGTAAGAGGGTAAATGAATAAGTATGTTGATACTAATTAGATTCAAGATTTCACTCTGGGAGACAGGAGAAACAAAGATGAAACAGGAAAAAGTAAGAAAAAACCTGTATTTCAGTTCAAACTGGTGAGTGAATGGATGGGTGGAGAAACGGAGGGAGCGAGAGAGGGAAAGGAAAAAAAAGAAATCTACATGTTTCCTATCTCTGTCCACTGAAAGGGCCCAGAAGTTATGACATTCTAGTAGCAATGAACATGCCAAGCATCCAGATCCGGGCTGAAAAGGGAAATGAGATGACACCATTATGTCAAAAGTGAGCAAGAACTCAAAGAATGGTGTGATGTCAGCTTAAAGGCACCTACACTAGCCAAATGCAAGACAATCTGAGCATCAAAAATAAAAATGAAAATAATACCTTAGGTTTTAAAAAGAGTCCAGGGATTAAAAGCAATACTAAAAAATGGGATGTCCTTTACAAAAGAATGCCAACTAATAAACGTATGAGGAATAACTAGAAAATCAGCCATTTGCAACCACCAGCAAAATAGCAAAAATCATCAATTGATGCTAAAATCATAGGAGGAAATTTTATTGGAAAATAGAATACTCATATGGTCTCAAACTATCACCCTACAGAGATTACTACAAGGAAAAGATGACTGCTTTTACAATGTAAAAAGAGGTCAGACACCACCTTAAGTGAGCAAACTTAGTATAACCAATACTAGAGCAAACTGGCATTGCATGTCTTCTCATGTGATGCTATGTAGTCTTCTTGCCATGAGAAAACAATGAGACAAATTACAGATTATAGGACTAGACTAAAAGACAAATAACTGGACTGGACTCTTCTAAAATGGCAGTTGTAAAAGGCCCTCCAAAAAAAACAAGAACAAAATGAGAGAGACTGGAGAGTGGTACTGTACTAGATTAAAAGAGACTAAAGAGACATGACAACCAAAACACAATGTGTGATCCCTGACTGGATCCTAGGATGGGACAGATTACAAGATATTTAGGGGAATTCTGAATACGGATCGTGGTTTAAATAACACTAATTTTTCAACATTAACTACCAAGGGTGTCACATACACACACTTTTCCAGTTTTGGAAAACAGGCAATTAGCATACCTTTGATGGGTTAATTACGATATTTCTGGCTGAGCCATGTTCATCTCCAGTAAAAGCCGGCTGATTGTTGAAGCCTTGCTTTACATTCACAGCAGTAAGTTCATCCTGTTCAAGAAAAGGTATTGATTAATCAGAAGGATATAAACGCTCTAACTTAACCCCACTTACCACAGCCTGAGTAACGACTAACTTTGCTATATTCCATAAGAGAATTGTTGAAAACACACCAATGAAAGAAGAAACTGAAGTTTAAAAATCAATGCATAAATATGTAGAGAAAGATAAAAAGAATGTGCAAAATGTTAACTGTTAACCCTAGCTGCAGGACATATAGGTGTTAATTATACTATTCTTTTGACTTCTTTAAGTTTGAAAATTTTTAATAAGTTGGGAATAATGAGCAAAAATCACACACACAAACATAAATCATAGAATTTTAAAACCAGGACTGTTTCTAGAGAGCCCATAGTTTTACTCTCTCTCCCTTGCCAGCCCCATGCACATGCACATCCCTATCCTATGTTCAAGAAAATCGGCTCACTCAACTTACCCAAGACCCCATAGCAAGTTAAAGACAGCACAAGCTTTGACAACCACATAGCACAAACAGGTAACTAAAGGAAAGTTTAGAGCTTGAAAAGTTCTTTTGTACATCCTGGTTCACTTGATCTTTACCAATTCTGGTATCTTCATGCCCATGAGAAGAGTGAGGCTCACTAAGCTAGTACAGTAACTGGACAAATTCAACACTGAAAAACCATCTTCTCAATCCTAGAGTAGGAAGAGAAATTCGCGTGACACCATGCCACCGAAGTATAAAGGCCATATGAAAATGTGGTCTAAAAATACATAGCTACAACTCATATGCTCCTTAAAAAGATCTTACTAGATAGATACAGGAAAACTTTTCTTCCCAAGGCCATAACACATCAAAAATAGCCTAGGCTTTATAAAAAAAAAGAAAGAAAGAAAAGAAAGAAAAAAGAGAAGAGAAAAGAAAAAAGAAAAGAAACAACAACAAAAGCAATAAAACATGCCTTCCCTGATCATTGAGTTACAGAACTAAATCTGAGTTCCTAAGATACAGGCTTGAAAACATAAAAGGGAAAGGTTTGAGTGAGTGAAGCTACCTCCGCTCCCCTCACTCCAAGCCAAGAAATGGTCTTGGTAACCGCTAGGGTAATGGTGATCACAGCACAAGAATGAGGACACACATTTTCTCCTCATAAGTAGCTGCTGCAAATGTAGACTGGAAAAAAATCAACTGATCAAAATCACTGCTGTGATTAGGCAGGAAGCCTTAAAACAAAATAGTTTATGGCACATAAGCACCTGAAAGGTCACCTTGACTGAGAACTGAGGTCTCCTGGAGACATGCCATGTAACTTTACTTAATTGTGTGTGTTCTAGCTAATACCTTGGTGAGCCACTGTTTTGGCAGGCTTTCAAAAGACCCTGCCACAGGAAACTCAGCTCTATGGTAATCAAGTCTCCTCCAAGCACAGAAGGTTACTGAAATCATGACCTGCACAGAAAATGAATTGTGCACACATATCAGAAGACATCTCAAACTGCTACCTACATTTTCAAATTAATTATTTGAAAATCTAGGGTAAAACTATGTAATAAAATTTCTGTAGTCTCAGAGTCTAAGAAAGAAGGGGCACAAATGGGATAAAAGGAATTGGACAAGAAAACTAAATTTTTATCTTTGATTTACCATCAGAATATTACAAGAAACATTCGTTAAATAACAGTATATGTTTTTATTAAAAATATGTTCTGGCTTAATCAAGAGGAAATATGTGAGCCTTTTAAAACCAGTTAGTTTCATTTAGTGTTGCTTAAATTTGTATTCTAAACTAACTCCGGTCAGTTAGCTATTTGTCATATGTGACTTCTAATCACTGGCCTGAAGAGACATGCCCTGTGTGTGTATACACACAAACACACACATACACGCACATATCCCCAGAAGGAAAAGAACATGGAACCATTATCAGATGTCAACCACATCAAATTTTCCTCAAACTAGGATTCACACAGGTATTGCTGGGAGCCCTGAATTATGAGAACTTGTTAATCTCATAGTCTAAATTGCACGAAAACACATCCAGAATCAGACCACTACTTATTACCACCAATGCTCTCCTCAAGTCGGGAACACCACCACCTCATGCTTGGATACTGCAATGGCTCCTAATTTGGCTCCCAACTGGTCTCCTTGCATCTACCCTTGCCCCCTGAAGATCATTTTCAACACAGCAACCACGGGGAGCTTTTAAACATAAGTGAAATCCCATCATGTCTGCTCAAAACCTCTGTTAACTCCACAACTCTAAGTATAAGCAAAGGCTCTATGATGTCCTACAAGTCTTTATGTGATCTGGCCCCTATTACCTTTCTGACCTCATGCCTGACGACATTCCCCCTTTGCTCACTCTACTCCAGCTACGCTAATCTCCTTGCAGTGCCTCAAACATGCCAGCTAGAGGTTCTTAAGCCTCAGAGCCTTTACACTGTCTGTTCCCTCTGCCTAGACTGCTCTTTCCCGTGGTATTCACATGGCCAGCTCCATAACCACCCTAAGTCTTCACTCAAATTTCACATTCTCGATGAGAAATCTGATGACCCTATTTAAAATGGGAACTGCTTACCCCACTCCCTTCATCCTCAGCATTCCTAATCTTCCAATAATCCATAGCACTTATCACCTAAAACACCATGTAATTTACTTACAACACATACTGTTTCCCCTACACAGAAAGGAAGGTCCATTCACAGATGCATGTCAAGCACAGTGACTGGGTGCCTGGCACATAGAACATCTAGGTATTCAATAATTGTTGAAAGAACAAATAAGTAAATAATCACCTGCTTTAAACAATCAACATAATAAGCATATTCTGAATCACTACATCATGACTCTGAGGTCCATAATTCTCTTTGTATTGTTAAACTGATTAAATGTGGATGCCAGTAGGCTGAGGTGGACCAAATGCTGTGAATGTCTACAAAAGCAAACCAAAATCTAAACCTCAGGTTATGAATGCGGAACCCAAGGACAGCCAATCACAAACAGCCAACTAGGGTTTAAGCTAAAATCAATAATTTCCTTACTTTGCTTCCACCTTTTCTCTATAAAAAATTTCTCCCAGCTCCCAACAATGGAGAGCTTCTAATCACTTCTAGTTTGGTGCGGCCCAATTTGAATCAAATAAATTCAAATAAATCTCTAAATCAAATAAATTCAAATAAATTTCTAAAATTTTAATATGACTCAGTTTCTCTTTCAACAGTTCTGGTGTCAGAAGCAGGACCCAAAGGAGACCCCCAATGGCACCCAGGAGCAAGGAGCAGCCAGAAAAAGTTGCCCACTGGGCCCACTGCTTTCTCGCCATGTCTGGAGATTGCAGGTATCTGAGCTCCAGTTTTTGCGTTTAAAAGAGCTCTCTGAATTTATCTGAGCGTTTCTTTGTTCAGAGTGGGTACCAGGTCAGCTGACAAAGAAACAGGACTGGGTCCGACTCAGAAACTGGACTGGTCCTGGTCAGACTGGGCCCAACTTAATTTAATCTAGACTGGGTCCAGTGCGAGGCCTCAGGTAGCAAGGGAGAACAAGAGAAAAACAGTTTTCCCTGACTCCAAACAATCTGGGACTTCTCCACCTGGGACGCCAGCTAACTACACTTATAAAAATTATGGGCTCAGAACCTGGTTTTCCGAACCAGGGGATTAACTTTACCAAAGATAATCCTGAATCACAATGGCCACAGTGGAGAACGTTTAACCTAGATAGGCTTATCTATTTATGGGGCTCTCTAGAGAGAAAAAGAGTCAAATCTCTCCAAATTTCCCAAAAACAATGGGATGTATTTTTATTGATATGCAGAAGCAGCTCTAATAAACAAATGAATCAAAGATTGCCTCTTTGAAAGATTCTTTACTAAAGGCAAATGAAAAGCTTAAGCAACAAGCTGATGGTGAATCTAAAAAGAAGTGTACACCAACTTGACTAACTGCTCAGACTGCTCCTTCCCTTTATCCTCTGCTCCCAAAATATTCTGAACCCATTAATCTCTTTATTCAACTGCCTTTTCACTTTGAAGATGAGCTACAGTTAAAAGAAAATGCCTTTGAAAGGGAGGTCCTCTGCTGAGCCAGGAATACCAGATGTAACCATCTTTTCTCTATGATCAAAGGCTGAACTTAGGGCTATTATCAAAGATTTTTCAAATCCTAAAGAGAATTCCCAAAAGTTTTATGGAGAATTTAGAATTCTAATTGAATCTAACAATCCAGGACTCCCTGATCTCTACCAATTCATGCATATGACATTAGTACCTGGCAGTGGCCAAAAATGGATGGCTGAAGCCAAATGAGAAGATCCCGAGAGGGATATTAAAGGTCCACATACTAATCACTGCTAGGGACAGCACAAAACACACTGGAAAAATAGCCCAAGACCCACTTGAAAGTAATGATAAGGCATTTCCTCAGAAGACTGATGAGTCCATCATTCAGTCTTACAAACAAAAAGATGAACCAGTCACACACACTTAGCCAAGACTAAAATCCCTTTTTGTGAAACACTCAGGGCTTTTTTTGTTATTAAACGTGGGCGCAGAAAACACACTTACTTCCTCACCCATTAATGGGCTGCAGCTTAAACTAAGTATCCTAATAAAGACACACAAACAGAACTGAGAAGCTGCCCCTCTTGAATTAACAGCCCTAGCTGAGCATTTTGAAAAACCTTTGAGCAAGATAAAATTCAAATAGCCAATAAACTTATAGCCCTGCAGTTACTCCAGGGCTAAAAGGACCTCCATATACGCATGCCAAGCCAGAATCTAGAGGTCCTCCACTCAGGAGCGCTGTGTCCCAAAATGTCTGCCTTCATTTTAAACAACCGGGGCAATGGGGAAAAAAAATGAATGCCCCCTGCTAAACTCATTGTTTAATAGACCTCCCCCTGTTTTTCCAACAGGGGAAGTCCTTAAAATTTTGATTACCAAAATAATAAACATTAATGGGGCTCCCAGTAAAACTCCAGGAAACTGCTCCCCAGGATACCTTCTAACCCCATTGCAGGTGCTGCAATT